GACCGCGTAGTTAACGATTGTTGGTTAACTAGGTTAAAGAGTTTAACCGGTTAATCTCGGATCGTTGGAGCTCATAATCTGTAGGTCCATAAGGTCCCCTGGCTAGCTGATATAGGAATAAACTTGGAATAATTTGAAGGAATAATTCGAATCGTACGAATTAGGTTAATCATATGAGATATGATTAAGTAATAGATATATGATATCAATTTGAGAAATTTGGACAAAATATTTAAATAGGATTTAAATATTAAAATTATGAATGTGGATTCATTAATCGGAGGCATGAATTTCATCAAACATCAGATTTTGGAAAAAGTCAAATAGTTGACTTTGACCAGAGAAAGTCAAAGGTTGACTAAAGTAGATTAAAATAATGTTTTTAACCAAGTTGGTGGAAAATTCCACTAACTTGTTGAGTGGAACATTTAAATAATCTCAAAAATCCACTTTTTGACACTTAGTCATGCATGCATAAGTGGAATGTGTGTTGTAAGCTTTTGGTGAACTTAGACATGCATTTTGACAGTTAGCCATGCCATGCATGAGTGGAATGTGTGTTGTAAGCTTTTGGTGAACTTAGACATGCATTTTGACACTTAGCCATGTCCTGCATAAGTGGAATATGTGTTGTAAGCTTTTGGTGAACTTTGACATGCAAGAGTTGCATGTAATTTGCTTATTTAAGAAGGCCTTTGTTCAAGAGGTCTTGGAACCTTTGACTATTTTTTCCAAAAAAAAAAGCTTACATAACCCTTTTTAGCTCCACTTTTCTCTAAATTTTTCCTTCTCTAAAAACAGTATCACCACTCTATTCCAAGCCTTGAGAATTAGCTAGGAAGATCTCTTGGTGGTCCTTCATTGGAGCTATTTGAAGATTTTTGAAAAGCTACAAAGGTTTGTATTTTTCTCTAATTATCTCTAAGCATCATAATGTATGATTATGCATGTTTAATCCTAGGTTGTATTATGCATCTAGATTGTTATTTCGATTCTTGCTCACTTCCGCTGCGCATGTATGTATATTATCCATCAATTTCAATATTAAAATAATTATTTATCAATTTTATATTAACTTTATGGACAAAAATAGTATCAACGATAATGTTGCAGTAACTATTAAATATAGTTACTACAAAAATTAATAAAATTTTGTTAAAAAAAATATGTGCAACATTCTTTATACATAAATAAGCTTTCATAAAAATATTTATCTTCACATTTGAAATAAAAAAATTCAATGGAAAATAATGATTTTTTTTTCGAGATAATCATGAAATAATTAAGAAACCTTTAAATTCAAATAATAAATACGTAAAATAACTTAAAATATTTAATAGAATACAAATTGTATCCTATTATATAACAATGATTGAATCCATAATTTTATATTTAGATATCATATAACTATATATACAAATTCAATTATTTTGAGAAATAGTTCTTAATTACAGTTATTTTTCTTAACTACGTTTACTATTAAATATTATTTTTGATTTTATAAATTTTAAATGGTACTAAACCTAAATATCAAAATAAATTACATGGATCGTTAAAAATAACTTTAATTTGTTATAATTAATTTCAATTGATTTAAATTGATCATTAGATAAAAACTAAAAAATATTAATTCAGTCAGTTTCAATAAAAAGAAAAAAAATAAATACGTGTAATGCAGTAGCATTGTAAAGGTTGGGCTTGGGCATACCCGGATCCTACGTGTCAAGCTTAGAGTGAGAGGTTTTGTATTTGGCCCAACATCACAACTCCACACCGCTGCAGTGCTATGAAGCTTCTTCCACTCTCTTCTCTTCTTGTTTTTGTTCGTACGTACGTTCATGCTTATTCATACTGAATCACTGAATCATGCAAGAATATCGATGACATCAAATTTGATCTCACCCCAACAACACATGTATCGAGATCTCTATCAACCAGCACTTGTAATCGCAGCCTGCTTTGTTGTCGTCGCTCTGCTTCTCTCCACTTTCCTCATTCTACAGCATCTCAGATCCTACTCTAATCCACCGGTAACCCCTAATTTCATCCCCATCCTTCTTAATTAGCCTCTTAATTACAGAGTAGAGAGAGACATGTATTGATTGATTTCAGGAACAAAAGTGGATTGTTGCGGTTCTTTTTATGGTCCCTGTTTATGCTACCGAGTCGGTGAGATAAAAAAGTTATATATTCCTTGAGTTTGATATAAAATAAATATGTATTTTGGTACAAATCTGATAACGGCTTCGTGCTTTAATTCTCAGATTATATCATTCTGGAATCCCAGATTTTCGCTTGCATGTGACATCCTAAGGAACTGCTATGAAGCGTTTGCCTTGTATTCTTTTGGAAGATATTTGATTGCTTGTCTCGGTAACTTTCCTGGTTCTTATTTCTGTTTCTTCAATTTTAATAAAGAAAAATAAATTTCATACCTCAACATCTATGAATTTAACCAAACTGTGATAAAACAATATTTTTATTTATGTTTTGAAACAAATTGAAGGGTTGTTTCCTTGTTTCCATCAAAATTTTGAGAATGAAAAAAAAAAGAGAGAAACCAGAAACATAATAGTTACAAAATACTTAGATTTGTTAAGAAAATTGAAAATGAAAAACAAGAAATGAGAATATTACCAAACGAGCCCCGTGTATCTCACCTCTTTTGCTTCATTGGGTTTTGTTTTTCAACAATAGAGAACACATAATATGCCAAATGTCATAGTTCATGTATTAGCCACTAACCAGATTGATCGAGCGGATTATTGTTCTCTCAATGTAACTAGCATATTTCTCGAAAAAGTCTCAATGTAACTGCCTAATACTCCCCTCAAGTTTAGCTGGTTTGGACTGGACAGCCAACTCGGTTCTTAATGGTTAAAATCTGATGGAACGAGAGACCGGTCGTACAGAACATTTTCAACTGGAAGAAGGCAGGCAAAGAAGGGAATGAGAGACAAGATAGTTAGTTATGTGTGAGGAGGAGAGATCCTAAGGGAAATCATTGATTTAGTTTTTTTAATTAAAGCCATAGAGAGCATCTCTAAGGAGGAGAGTTCCAGGGCCTCTTGGAAGGCTGAGTGGACTGGTTATTTGTGAAAATTTCTGCTGTTAGTCCAATTATGAACAGAGAGAATCTTGAACTGGGGTCCTCTTCTAAGAATATCAACAATCTGATTGGATAAAGGCACATGTTTGACCCTCAAGGCTGATTGTATGAAGGCAAATGTATGGATTCAAGTTTCTCATTAGAAAAACATTCTCGAATGAAACGAAAATTGATTTCTATGTGCTTTTTGCAAGAATGGAGGACCCGGATGTAGAAGAAATTAGGATAAAGTAAAAGAGGCAATCTCTTCAGAAAAGAAACTTTTATTTGGAAAGTAAAACGAGGACACTCTTTGAGAGATGGCTCTCTCATACTCTCGAACTTTACTTCACTTACTTGGCTCACTTTTCTCACTTTCCTCACTTGCCTATGCCTAATATGTGCGACATCCCTCCTATTTATAGAGATTTATAGGCAAAGGATCCAGAGCCGAACCAAATGGATTTTCATTTGTTGAAAGATAATGTAGATGTCATAAGATGGCTCAACGAGAACAAAAATCTCGAGGGGGAACAAAAGGGTAAAAGCTCGTTTGATTATGATTTTCCTAGGCTCCTTTTAGATCTTACGTACTTCTAGATATGTCTTTTATAAATCTAATCCTATCTTAAAGAACTTTCTAGAATTTCTCGAATCCCAAGAAATATTACTAAAGATAGGATATTTCTAGAGTCCTTTCTTTTTTAGATATTTATTTAGAATCTTCGAGATAAATCTAGAGAGAACTGTTTAAGATATTTGTTGTAGTATTTTATTTTAATACCAGATGTTTCGAAAGAGAACAAACACCAAGATTATTAGATCAAACAATGTGTGCACATGCAAGAGGCTGATGGAGCTCTCGTAATAAAGAGTGAAACCAAATTGTTTCCACACCTGCAGCTGCTGATTCAAAGTAATTTGGCTTCCATATTTGAACTAGAAATTTATTTTTGTTTCTTTAAAGTTCAGGAAACAGGATGGCCATCAAGAAAAATGCAGTAACTGGTAAAATATTTTGTGTCTTGTTTATCAGAAAACCAATCAATATCCACATAACAACAGAAGACCAATAAAAGTTAGGGGTAGGTGAAGTAGAAGAAACAAATTTATCGAAGAAATCAAAATTTCCCTGAATATATTGAAGGGGCTTTTTGCAGGCAAGCCAGTGATCTTTGATGGAAGGAAACATAAATTAGCTTAGTTTGTTTACGACCTTACTTGAACAGGATTTGTTCTATAGGTTGTACAACCGTGTCCTTGGGTTCTAAAGTTTTGCAGTTATATTTCTGTAACCTAAAATCAAATACAAGTTATAGAATCCTAATTTCTATAACCCATTATGGGTAAGCTCAAACTTAACCCATTAGGATGATTAAAACCGTTAGCCGTCCCCTAAATATTACTACACCTATAATATGCCATGTCCTATTTTCATAGCAGTTAACCGTGCCGCAAAAGATTCATTACTTAATATATTATGAGTTCCTTATAGCATGTGTGTAATGGTTTCTCTTGAATGAATGCAAGGTGGTGAGAGAAGAGTCATTGAACTACTTGAAGTTGAATCAAAAAATCAGCTGGATGAACCTCTAATAGAAGGAGAAGAAAAGAGGCCAAAGTCTCAAAGAACACTTTGGAACTTTCTCCTTAAGCCACGTGTTCTCGGACAAAAATTGCTCACAATAGAAAAGTTCGGTCTCGTTCAATATGTAAGCCATTATTGATTTGGCAATTTTATTTAGCTTGATCTTGACAATGAGTTTTCTTATATTGCTTCGTGGTTTAGATGATTCTGAAGACGGCATCTACATTCCTAGCATTTATATTGGAGCTTTTTGGAGTTTATGGTGATGGGAAATTCAAGTGGTACTACGGGTATGCTTGTATTTATTTATATTGGAGCGCCTTTCTAGCGTACTTTTGAAAAGTTTTGTTTCACTTCTGCTTATGGCTTGCAGTATTATTATCTTTGTTGTAGGTATCCATACATAGCAGTGGTACTTAACTTCAGCCAGATGTGGGCATTATATTGTCTTGTCCAGTTTTATAATGTAACTCACGAGCAACTGAAACCAATAAAGCCACTGGCAAAATTCATCAGCTTCAAGGCTATAGTGTTTGCCACTTGGTGGCAAGGTGTCGGTATTGCTCTATTACGTGAACTTGGAGTTCTGCCGGAGGGGAAACTAGAAACAGAACTACAGGATTTCTTAATTTGCATAGAAGTAATGTGCTTTACTTTTTTTTCGTTTTGGCAGTCTATTTTTCTTGTCGAACCTGTTAGAACTTTCTATGTATTCGTAATTCGGGAAAGTTTTGGGTAAAAATCAACATAGAGCTACTTCTAAAGACTTCTTTTTTTCTCTTTGATTGCTGAACCTTTCCTATTGGTGATTGTTTGTTGAGCAGGAAAATAGGAAAGAAGTGCTTTATTTTGAAGAAAACACATATACATCTCTTTGGCCCTCACACTAAGTTTTCAATGGCATGGCAGATGGCTATTGCAGCTGTGGCCCATATATTTGTTTTTTCGGCTGAACCATATCGTCACATACCAGTTTCTGGGTACCGTGGAGTCACCATAGAAACAGTCAAAGGGGTAGTCGAGGTCGAAGAAGGGGAAGATAAAAAACCATTGGTCGAAAGGACAGAAACTCATGTGGAGGCTCCTGGAACTAGCGTGACCGAGAGCGTTCAGGACATAGTACTTGAAGGTGGTCAACGAGTAAGTAATGTAAAAAAACAATTGCACATTTGTGATCAAAATGATTTTAGCATTGAATGCTAACGCTTAATTTCTTAGCAGGTTGTTAAGGATGTTGTATTGACCATAAACCAAGCAATAGGGCCGGTCGAGAAAGGCGTGGCAATGATACAAGAGACCTTTCATAAAAGAACTGTAGGTTCGGATGAAGATGAATCAGATGTAGAGATTGAAGAATACGTGGAAGAAAATCTTGCAGGAAATGAAACCATCAAAGTCTGAAACCGTGCATGCAAATCACCACCACATTCTTCTTTAATGGATAAGCTATGGATTGTGATTCTGAATTGTTATCAGGTCCGACCTAAGGTTTAATAAGGAAGTAAGGCCGATGTGAAGGCTGCATTAGAGACGATCAAGAAGCGAGAATAGTAAGCGGTCGAATTACAATAAATCTGTGGACCTGGCTGACATGAAGAAGAATAAGCACAAAAACGATAAACTGAGAATAGGAGGTAGGAGGAAGGAGCAGAGGAGCCAAAAGTAGAAATGTGGAGGGAAAAAGAGAGAATCGAGCTATTCAGAGGGGAGGAGGCGAGCGTGGGAGTTCTGTCGCGAGTTTCCTTGCCTTTTTAACTGTTGGGAATAGAATGCAATGTTTTTTTTTTTTTTTTAGGATTAAAATACTATTTTGATCTTGTACTCGAACTTTGGTTCATGAAACAACTTTGGTTCAATTTAGTTTCTCTACTTTCAAAATATTTATTTTAGTATTTGTATTTTTAAGGGAAAATTACACTTTTGGTCTCTGAGGTTTGAAGCCGGTGTCTAGGTGTCTATTTGGTTCCTGAAGTTTGAGAAATAGTTCTAAATGATCATATTTATTTTAGTATTTGTATTTTTAAGGGGAAATTACACTTTTGGTCTCTGAGATTTGAAGCCGGTGTCTAGGTGTCTATTTGGTTCGTGAAGTTTGAGAAATAGTTCTAAATGGTCATGGAGACTCTTTGACCGTTAGTTGACTAAACAGAATGTTTACATGGCAGTTAAATACTTGTTAGACATAGTTAAATACTTGTTAGACTAGGATTATGTGACAATTTTAAATGAGGTGGCAAAAATATACTAATTTTATATTATATTGTGTTGACTGGACTGCTAACGTGGCCACCATCTCCAAGACCTCCTTCACCTTCTCTAATTTCCTGGCCATCCAAGATTCCTCTCCCCGCAGAAGATTTCTACCTTCGTAATCGGCGTTTTGTCTGGTTGAATCCGAAGCCGAATAGCTGGATACACCTGCTCCCATTTGGCGGGAGATCCTCTGGTTCCTCGTCGAGTGGCGAATAGGGCCTGGGTTGATGCGCCGCCATGGGAGACGGAGGTGGGATTTTGGGATGGAGGAGGAGAGTGTTTTTCAGTTGTGGAAGCCATCCAAGGAAATTGGAATGGAGATGGAGGTGGGATTTTGGGATGGAGGAGGAGGGTGTTTTCAGTTGTGGAAGCCATCCAAGGAAATTGGAATGAGACAAAGGAGAGTGGAAATAATGCAGAAATGGAGGGTTCCGAATTTGGGCGTAAATTTGGGAGATGGGTCGGTGGTTTCCATTCTTATTCTCATCAATTTTGCCTTCAAAATTTCCAAAATGTGAAATTTATATGAGATTGACGGGAAGTTTGTGAAAACCCCTGTTGGCAAGTTTTGGAACTATTACCTTAAAACCAATTTACAATCGATCTTTCTTACTCTTCGGCAATCCAAATCCATCACTTGTCAAAGATTTCTTTCTTACTGCCGGAAAAGAGAAAGAAGAAAGGAGAAAAGAGAGAGATAAAAGCCATGTTCCAATCAACCTAATACAATATAAAATTAGTATATTTTTGCCACCTAATTTAAAATTACCACATAATCATAGTCTAATAAGTATTTAACTGTCATGTTTAGTCAACTAGTTTTAAGTTGAACTATCTCCGTCTCTCAAGTACTCTCCCCATCTCTCTCACTCTCAATCTCTCTCAAATCTCAAAATTTTCATTTTCATTTTCATTTTTTGCATGAGATTATCAATTGTTGAAGTAGAAATCAAAGCTTCCTATTTCATCAACTCAACCTTGCGGTTTCAAAGTTCCAGGTTTTTCATTCAAATTCTTTTACTTTTTTTTTTTTAATTATTTCATATTGTTGATTCCTCAATACCTTAATATATGAGATTTATTTAGATTTGCTTACTTAGAATACGAATATATCTATATGAATTTGGATATGAAAAAAACTTATTGAATCTCATGAAGGTGCTTTCGATAAATTTGTTATTGGAAGTAAAAGTAATAAAAATGATGAAATAATAGAAGAAATGATAAATATAGACAAATCAAGAGATGAAACAAAAATGGTAGATGATGGTATGGTTGATGGAAATGAAGCATCTAATCATGAAAAAAAATAAAAAATCTAGAGGGCGACGAGGAAAGTGAAAAAAATAAAAAAAAAATAAAACACTGATGATATTAGTAATGATAATGAGACATGTATGATGCAATATGAATATAATATCTATATGATCCAGGAAAATGGAAAAATATTGATTCTAAATTAATTGACTTATCAGTGGAAAAACGTCCCATTAGAGAATGTAATTTAATTTTTACGAAAGATAAAAATTCTATACATTTTTCTAATATATATTCATTTTACTCAAAAAATTATCTAACGACGAAAAACATGATAGAAATTGTCTAGTTTACTCAAAGAATTTTGATAAAGTTTATTGTTTTTTATGTAAGTTTATACGAATCAAGTTGTTGATCCACTACATGTATTAAAGGAGCAATTACAAGAAGCAAAGCAAAGAAGATTCAAGAGGCTTTCACACTACATCTTGAAAGGCTGATCAATACACAAGAACCAACAAAGAGTTTTGAGCCCAAATTTTTTATAATGTTACTTCAATGAGTCAAGAAGAAAATTGAACAAAGATGGCAAGGGAAAAACTATCTATTTTGAGAGATGGCATGGAGGACAAAAAAAAAAGTGTGCAGAATTATGAACAGGTGCCTTTGCAGATTGCACCTCTTGGGAGTTTGTGAATTCAAAGCTTGTCAAACGTTGTCATCACATGAAACGCCTTCTACATTAGATTTCCAAGACAATTTAATGTCATTATATGTTTTCTTTTATGCATTTAAGCATCTAGATTGATGTGCAATCAAGTTTTAATTTGCATGTCTTATTTTCTTCAATTTGCATTAAGAAGGATTTTGACCATTTGACCTATTTAAAGGCTTGTAATGCACTTGTTAAGGGGATTGTTAAGATTTGACATATTGAAATCTAGAACTTTTGTTCATTAACACATTTGGTGTTGTCTTTTTCAAATCTTGCTTTAAGTTTGATGTTAAACCGATTCATTAGATTAGTCTCGATCAAGCTAATTTTTTAGTGAGTCGTCTTAGTATCTAGGAGTGACCATCATAGATTCTAGGTGTGATATAAGAGTGATTCATCCTTCTAACCCTACTCTTGGTTGGAATCATTTGGTAAGTTAGTCACTTTTGTGAATGTTTGCAAGGATCCTAGAAAGACCTCTAGCTTTGTAAACCCGAGCAACCTTGGGACTTATCATTTGGTATCAGAGCACTTGGTCGACATCCTTTGGTCGCCTCTAGAGGTGAAATATCTTTATTTTGTGTAATTTTATTTTCTGTCATTTTCTTTTCGAAAGTAGTTTCTTACCAAGTGTAACAAGACATACTACAACTTGTCTTGAATTTTTTTAATCTTTGCTCTCATATCAACATAAAAAAAACAGAAGTAAAATAAAAGAAAAAAATCAGTAGCAAAAAAAAAGAGTATTCAAAGATCTCAGGCACATGAAAAGTTTTCATCATTGTTAGTGTTTTGTTCAATTCTCGAGGTTTTAATTCTAAGATTGAGTCACTCTAAGTCTCAGTTTGTGAGAGTTGATCTTTTAATTAGTTATATCAAGCTTTAAAGTAAGATTGCACCAAAATTTAAGTCAACCCTTACATCTTTGACCTAGTACCAAAAGCCTACCCTTGAGTGATAAACACGAGTGTCATGTAGGATCGAATGTTAACACTAAAGGGGGTGAATAGGGTTGCTTACCACTTTTTCAAAATTAAAAATAAATTCAAGGTAATAGACAATTCTGCAATCAATAAAAGAAGATTAACAACAAGAAGAAATATTGAACAAAATATTTAAGTAAACCTATATGCAATCTAGCAAAAGTCAAAATAGATAAATACTTAATTTAAAAGAGAGACGAGAAGAGAGTGGTGACACCGAGAATTATTATAGTTGTTCGTAAATTTCTGCTCCACTCCCCAAGACTCCTTCTTGGGTATTTTACTACAATGACCCTCTTATGGGTGAGAACCAAATCGATAGACCCTCTTTTTGCCTTAAGGTAAAGAGAAACCCAATATCCTTTTTACCAGTTCAGGATCCAACCAATTTACTTTTCTCACAACCCAAGGTGTACCCACACCTTAATACAAAACTCAATTTTGAAAATAAAGAATGTAATAACACAAGTGGATTACACAAATTTTGCACCGAAGTAATGGTTAAAAAGCCATACTCTAATGAATCTCTCACAAAAAATTGAGCAAGTTATGTGTAGGAGAGAATGAAGATTTAGCAAAAGTTGAGAGGAGAATTTGAAAACAAAAGATTTTGCTTTGACTGGTGTGTAGAATGGTAGAATTTGGTGGCTTTAAATAGAGTTTTGATGATGAATTTCAGTCATTGGATTTAGGGCAACAAATGATGAATGGTGTAGATTAAGAAGTGAGGTAAGGAAATGAAATAAAAACATAATCATGGTGATTAAAAGAAATTGGTGAAGATTGAGAAATGATTGAGATTGAGAGTGATTGAGGAGATTGGGAGAAATTGGTGGAAATGAATTTGTAGAGATTGAAAGTGTCACATGTCATCTTCTCATTTGTTCGATTGTTGAATGCAACGTTACCATAAGTATGTCCTCTTGATCCCACATGTCAACTTCTGAGTGGTCCACTTGTCCATGTCACCCACCACGTAGGATTTGTCCACTTTTCCACGTCACCCGCCACGTAGGATTTTTCTCCTAACTTATTTTTACCATAACTTCTTCGTTTAAACTCCAATTTGAGTGATTTAACATGCATTGCTTTTGTCTTTTCGAGCTCTACGCCATGGACACTTTGAAACACTCAAATTATTTGTTTATACTTAGTTTGTGATCATCAAAATGTTTGGTTTGTTTGAAGCTATAAAGCTAACATGTCCTTGAGTGAAATCTTGGTGAGAAGAGTGGAGAGTGAAGGGATCGAATCCCCAGCGGAAGCGGTTGATCGCTTGTGATTCAACTCGAATTAGAAACAAAACAATACCGGTTTTCAAAAACAAAATATTTCTATTAAAATTGAGGTTAAGCCTCTTGGGACACTACAAGAATTTTGAGTTATAGCGACGTATGTTTTCCCGACGCATGCAAAAAACGTCGGCATTACAGGACTTTTCCCAACACTTTTGTTAAAGCGTTGGAAAATAAAAAGCACAGAATTTTTCCCGATGCCTATTAAAATAGCATCGGGAGAAGTCGATCATATATCGACGCTAATTTGCTCCGTCGGGAAAAATCTTTTTCCCGACGCTATTTTAATAGGCGTTGGCATATATACATATAAAAAACCCTATTTTCCCTAAATCCCTAATTGTGCGCTTCCCTCTCCCCCTTATTTCCCCGTATCTCTCTGTACACAACCCATTCCTCTTTCCCTTATCTCCCGCTGCTGGTACTCGCCTCAGACGCTGCCGCGATTGGTCTCGCCTCAGACGTTGCCGCCGGCTACCGTCGGTCTCATCTCAGACGCCGCAGTTGGCTCGCCTAAGTCGCCGCTGCTCCTTACGTACAGCCTCCATCCTTGCATCCACGATTTGGTTTCGTAAGCCCATCCCTCTTTCCTTTGTTTTTTTTTTTTGTTTGATTGTGATAAGATTCTGGCATCCACGATTCAAATCATTTCTCATTTTTGCATCCACGATTTGATTTTTTAATCGGTAAACTACTTGCTGAAATGTTACTTTCTAATGACATTTGTTGCACTCCTACCGTTTGTGAAAAAGCTTATAAGAGAATAGAATCTACCTTTATTTTTTTTAGTGACTTCTATTTGGAAGTAACACTCTGTAGAGAAAGGAAAGGGAAAAAAGAATCTTTTTTCCTTAAAAGGTTGGTCCATATCCTCTTCTACTAAAAATGTAGAATCTGATTTCAGAAAAAGAAACCACTGATATCTTTGGACTCTTAAGAAGTCTTGTCATAGCTAGTTGAAGTAGTCTATTTGTTTTTCCTATCATTGGCCAAAAGACCTCTAAGTTATCTTTGCTCCACTTATAATTATCTTTTTGGACAAAATTAGGCGTAATGGATCCAATGAGAATCTTATCTTAAGCTACTACCCTTTCATCAAAACATAAGTAAGTTTGTTCCTGCTCATTAGAATGTTCCTACTTTACATAATGGTGTTGTTGGATGATTCTCATTTTTTTTTTTTTTTGCTACTGATGGTGTGGAACCAATATTCAAAGCCTGTATTGTGAGACTTGTTTAAGTTAAATTTGTGAAGAATCCTTACCTTGCATTATTAGTTAGGAATAGCTTGTTACTCATGTTGGATTGAGAATTTGAGTATGGAAAAGTTGTACAAAAGTTAGTTGGGAATTTAATAAAAAAAATATTTTCCTCTCTTGTTAGGAGAACCATACCTAATTTCTGTGACGTTATTCGCAATTGGGGATTGGATCATTCATGGGTCAAAAGCTTAGATACCAACTTACACTTTATAAGTTGTATTCTAGAAATAAAAAATAAAATAAAATAAAAGTTAAGTATTCTTTAAGTTAAATTTCAATATTTCTCTCCAATCTTGAGCCATTAGAAATTGTGTGGTTATCCTTAGGTTTATGAAAAGAAGTTAGTCTAACTTTTTGTCCTAATTCCTACAGGATTAAACTTTGTCCATTTGTACTAATTTACAAATTTGTTTAAAAAGTACATTGGAGAATGAATAAGGATTGGATTAAGCTTAGGGATAGATTCTCAAGAGATTATATAGAAGGAGTTGCACAATTTCTAGAAGTGGCAAAGTGCCATGTAAATGAGGCAGGGAAAACAAGATGCCCGTGTAAGAACTGTCAGAACTCAATGGCACAATCATTGGACGGAATAGAACGACATTTATTTACATATGGAATATCTCCTTCATACAGTCAATTGGTTTATCATGGAGAACCAGCCAACTTAGCTCGATTTCAACGAGACCCAACTTCTGCCATAGATGATGAATTAACTAGAGAGTGTAATAATGTTAACAATGTTGACATTGAGATGCTTGATCTTCTAAATGATTTGGAAGGGGAAGAGGATGTAGATGATGAGTCGGATTATGGGGATGAACCGGAAGCTAATATTGATGAAATAGATACTTCAAACAATTTTGAGGAGTTGATGAATGAAGCACGTAATCAGTTGTACCCTGGTTGTACAAAATTTTCCTCGTTGAACTTCTTGGTGAAGTTGATGCATATGAAGGTGCTCAATAATTGGAGTAACAAATCGTTTGATATGTTACTAGAATTTTTGAAAGATGCATTTCCACCTGGTGCATCTATTCATTGTTCATTCTATGAATCTAAGAGAAAGCTACATGACTTAGGGCTAAGATATGAGTCAATTCATGCTTGCAAGTACGATTGTATATTATTTTGGAAAGAATTTGCTGATTGTCAAAGTTGTCCAGTATGTGGTGAGCCCCGATATAAAATAAATGATGGAAAAGGTAAGAAGATTCCACATAAGGTTTTACGTCATTTTCCACTAATACTTAGGTTGAAGCGATTATTTTCATCAAAATATATTGCTTCTGAAATGAGATGGCATAAGGACAAACGAGTCGAAACTGATGGTGTGTTACGACATCCAGCTGATGCTGCAGGGTGGAAACATGTAGATAGGAAGTTTCCTCATTTTGCTTCAGAACCAAGGAATTTTCGGTTAGGATTAGCTTCTGATGGATTTAATCCTTTCGGGAATATGAATAATTCCTACAGCATGTGGCCTGTGGTACTTATTCCATACAATTTACCTCCTTGGAAGTGCATGAAAGAATCTAATTTTTTCATGTCTTTGCTCATACCTGGACCGAAATCTCCAGGAAAAGAAATTGTCGTATATTTGCAGCCATTAATTGAGGAGTTGAAAAAGTTATGGACAAATGGTGTGCGCACTTATGATTGCACAACTAGGGAGTACTTTCGACTACACACATGTTTGTTGTGGACTATTAATGACTTTCCTGCATATGGAGACTTGTCGGGATGGAGTACTAAGGGTTATCAAGCTTGTCCTATTTGTAAAGAACATACATCATCATTTAGGATAAGAGGAAAAATCTCTTTCATGGGACATCGACGTTACCTTCCATATAATCATAGTTGGCGCAGGAGTAAGCAACATGATGGTAAGTTTGAGCATAGACCTCCACCGATTGTAATGGATGGAGATCAAATCCTAGAACAAGTAATTGCGCTAAGCTTTCCAGTGTTAAGTAAACATCCTTCCAGAAAAGATAAGAAAATGAAGCGTATTATTAATTGGACTAAAAAAAGTATATTCTTCGAACTTCCTTATTGGTCTAAACTTATGTTAAGGCATAAGCTGGATGTCATGCATATTGAAAAAAAACGTATGTGACAACTTGCTCGGGACTTTGATGAACATTGAGGGAAAAACCAAAGACACGACAAAAGCTCGTTTGGATCTTGAGGATTTAAATATACGAAAGGACTTACACTTGAAAAAGCAAGGAACTAAAGTGGTAAAACCACATGTTGCATATACATTTACAACCAGTGAGAGGGTGGCTTTTTGTAAGTTCTTGAAATCGGTTAAATTTCCTGACGGGTTTGTTTCAAACATATCACAGTGTGTGAGTGTGAATGATGGGAAAATATGGGGGTTGAAAACTCATGACTCTCATATTCTACTCCAACGACTTATTCCTATTGCTGTTTGAGCATACTTACGAAAGGATGTGAGTACGGCTATTGTTGAGTTATGTAATTTCTTTCGGGATCTATGCGCGAAGGTAATCCGCGTCAATGATTTGGACCAACTGCAAACAGATATTGTACTCATACTTTGTAAGTTCGAAAAAATATTCCCACCGGCTTTTTTTGATGTAATGGTGCATCTTGCAGTTCACTTGCCGTATAAAACAAAGGTTGTAGGTTCAGTTAGCTATAGTTGGATGTATCCTATTGAGCGAAGCTTACGGACATTGAAACACTATGTACGAAACAAATCTCGTCCGGAGGGTTCCATAGCTGAAGCATTCGTCATGAATGAATCTTTAACCTTCTGCTCCTTGTATCTAACTGGAATAGAAACAAGATTCAATAGGGATGAACGTAATGATGACTCGATTCCAAGTGGTGAAATTTGTGGGGATTTTGAAGTGTTCAAACAACACGCACGGCCATTGGGGGGTTCAACTGTGAGGACGCTATCTGAAAATGAGAAACGAATGACACATTGATATATATTGAACAACTGTTCAGATATAGCATCTTATCGCAGGTACATTTTTAAGTATATATATGTCTTTATAAATTTCAAGTTCGATATATCAAGGTTAAGTTTTCTACATTTCTATTCTTTATTATTCCAATATAGGCAACATTTGAGATTGATTCGATTAAGCTCAGACAACACATCATACTTATATAGAAGGCACCAATTACAATTTCCTGATTGGTTTAGAGCTCATGTAAGTATGCTTATCAATAATTAAAATTATACTTCAATAATGACTTAAACTAATATGTACAACGTTAACAGATGTACTCATTACGTGCAAGAGGAGAAGCCTCTGATGATATCTACTCGATAGCACTGGGGCCTGCTAATCAAGTTCGCTCATATAGTAGTTGCATTGTCAATGGTGTGCGTTTTCACTGTATAGAGCGTGACAATCGTCGGGTTACACAAAATAGTGGAGTCATGGTACCTGGAGAAACTGAAAGAGATGAAATGAATTACTATGGTGTACTACATGAGGTTCTGGATTTAGAATATACAAAAAGGAGACGTGTGATTGTTTTCAAGTGTAAATGGTTTGACACAGATACCAAGAAGAAAAGAATAAACATGAATTTAGGATTTACGTCAATCAACACATCACATTATTGGTATACGGATGACCCTTATATCCTTGCTACCCAAGCCAAACAAGTTTTTTATATTAATGATCCTAAGCTTGGTTGTGATTGGAAGGTTGTGCAAGTTGTTCCAAACAAACAAGTATGGGATGTTCTAGAAGATGGAGACTTAGAAAATGACGAAATGGAATTGTTAGAAATATCTGGTGCAATTGAGGTTGATGAATCAATCCAAGATGCTACATTATGTAGATATGACGTCGACCCTAGTGTTGTTGTACGTGAAGATATTCTACAACAGTTGAATAAGAGTGTACCATCCTCAGACGATGATGAATTTATAAATGATGAGTCGGAAGATATAGAAGTATCTACTGAAAATAGTTCGAGTTCACATCAACATTTAAATTTCAATGATGAAGATAGTGAATAAGTGTATCACTTATGCATTTAAATTTTATATTTCATGATCAAATGTTTCATGTACGTTGAGATTCATTTTGCATCCTATGTTATCTTGTAGAGTCATGGTGGGTCTAGGTCAAGAGCAGGATGCAGCTGCCGTTAACCAGGTGGCTCGCCTTACGAATATCAATTATGAATCAGGTAATTATTTATAACATATGAACATTTACGAATCATATCATATGAACATTAAGTATGGACTAGACATAACCTAAATTTTAGGCTCTAAATCCAAAAGAAAACGTGCCTGTGGACCTAAAGGAGTGCGTACGAGAAAACACAGCCGAGGTATTAGTTTGGACCGCTATGTTCAAAAGCATGGGAGGATACCTATTGAGATTATTGATGAGTTTAGAAAACCAATATGTCCCTTTGCCACAAGGTTTAGTGGTGCCATTGGTACTATCACACGGGAGAAAATTTCATTACGATGCACGAACTGGCATGAGGTACCACAAGAAGATCGGGATGCAGCTAAGGATCGACTATTGATAAGTTTATGCATCTTGGTACTTTTTGAATCGTGAATTGAAGCTTACACATTAATTATTAACTATGCAGGAGCATTTTCGAGTGGATTTATCAAAGAGGGTTGTTAATAAATTCATAGAGCAACAGATGCAAATATCCTTCAAGCAATATCGATCAGATTTGCATCAATACTATTGTGAATTCGAAGATCCCGTAGAAGCCCGTGCAAACCCACCGGAAAGGCTAACGAATCCAGAAGATTGGAATCATCTATGTGATAGATGGGAGACCCCTGAGTGGAAGGTATATTTTGTTGCAAGTTTAGTTATACTATATCTAACTCATTTAATTTAACTTCTAACTGATCAATCATTGTTCTAGGAAATTACGAAGAAGAACAAAAAGAATCGAGCAAAGCTCCCTTTCAACCATCGAGCTGGTTCCAAGTCATTCCTTCAATTACAACATGAATTGGTAATTAAGGTGCAACTCATTATTCTTTTATATCTTATCTCATTATTATGACTACTAAATATGTGTATTTGAATTATAGAAAATAAAAGAAGGTTCTGACATTGGTCCGGTGGATTTGTTCGGCGAGAGTCATTACAATGAAAAGGATGGATTGGTGAATGATAATGCAGAAGATGCATATGTAAGTTTGATTTTGTCATTATTGCATAGATTTCTTTATTCATGTATACATTATTTAATAACCCAATTCAACTATAAATGTAGGAAAACATGCAAAATCTGATTAAAGCACCAACACAAGAAGGATGTGAACCAGTAACACAACCAGAAGCTTGTAGAAAAGTTTTAGGTGATCGACCAGACCATGTTAAAGGTCTTGGTTATGGCCCACAACCCACCCTGTGCAAAAGAGGCTCATCATCTAATGTGACCTCTTCTACCTTGTACGAAAAAGAGTTGGAAAAGAAAGTGGAGGACATGGAAGTTGAGATGAGAGAGATGAAGACAGAAAATCAAAGATTGAAGGAGTCAGTGTCAACATGGGAGGATAGATGGAATGAGATCTCAAGGTTTATGGCGGGAAGGCAGGGAGATGGACCATCGAACAATTAGGTATGTATTAGCAACTACATATTCACTTTGTTTAGACATTGTATGACGATCTTGCAGTTATGGTCGTCACATTGCATGCATGTATGTAGTAGGTTTATTAAATCAAGTGCATTGTCATGTGGCTATCCTGCAGTTTTGGTAGTCACTTCAACTTCATGCATGTAGTGGATTTATAAGATTAATTGCGTTGTCCTGTGACTATCCTGCAGTTATGGTAGTCACTCAACTTCATGAATGTAGTGGATTTATAAGATTAATTGCATTGTCGTGTGGCTATTTTGGGGTGGGGTACGCTACATGTCTTTAAGTGCATTAGGCATGCCTCAATAGTTCATTTAGATGCCATTTAGCCACTTTTTTTTTCTTTCTATTTACTATGTTTTAGGAGTTTTAAAGACATTAGGTAGGTTTGTGGGGTGGTTTAAATGCATTACGCTTGTTTAAGATAGGTTAAATTTAAGTTTGGCCTCCATGGTTCACTTAGTTGTCGTTCAACCACTTTTTTTGTTTTTTTGTTTTTTTTGCTACTTTCAACTGTCTTGGAATTTTAAAGACACTTACGTAGCTTTGAGGGGTGGTTTAAGTGCATTAGGCTTGCCTAAAACATGTTCAGTTTAAGTTTACACATTTATTGTTCACTTAGTTATCGTTTAGCCACTTTTTTTGTCTCCTTCCTACTTTCCACTTTCTAGGAGCTTTAAAGACATGTAGCTTCAAGGGGTGGTTTAAGTTCCTAAGACAATTGAAGGCATGTTTAATTTTAGTTTGTGCTTCATGGTTCACTTAGCTACCGTTTACCCTTTTTTAGTATTAGCCTCACCTCAATAGTTTAGCTTCCATAGTTCACTTAGATATTGTTTAGACACATTTTTTTGGTTACTTTCTAGGTGTTCTAACCACTTAAATGTCTTTATTATTATTATTTATTATTTTTAATTTTTTGCAAAAATACTGACGTGAAAGGAAATTTTGAAGCCTCATATTGGAGCTAAACACTTAGAATGACATTGTTTTTTGTAGTGGTGTCATTTTGGAGGCTCAATTTAAGCTGAACACTTGAATATAATTTATTTTTTTATTTTTTATTTTTTTGTAGTGGTGGAGGCTCATTTTGTAAAAAAAAACTAATTTGGAAGTTGATAGAAGGCTTTTAGATTAATTATTTTGTTTTACACGTATGTTGATACTTGCTAAGAATGTACTACAAATTTCTTTTGTAGAAGAATATTTGTAGCTTAATGAATTGACTTTTATCGTATTGTTTTGTGTTGAATGATACTATTTATAATATTTTAGGTTTCAATACATAGAACTTCCAGGTATTAGAAAATGTAAAATAACATAATAAAATAAAATAAAAAGAATTATATGCATTTTTCCGGACGCAATAAAGCGTTTATATAAATATGGTAACTAGGGAATCTGCCACTTTTTGCCGACGCACAAACGGTCTCTGCCGACGCCTATAAGGTGCTAAATATGATACTTTTACCGACGCTTTCCTAAAATGTCGGCAAAAGTTAGTGCTAAGTCGACGGTATGTAAGGGTCGACGAAAGGGTTCTTGTAACGCCCCAAGATTTCATATAAACATCCTAGGTAACGCTAAATAATTCTTCTGGCTAACCTTAACTCTAAACACGAGATAAGCAACCTCCTGGAAAATATTTTAGATGAAATAAAGCTTCGACTCCCATACGTTCTAACAGAAATAAAAATGTCATAAACTATCARAACTCCGCCYTCCGTGGGCAATTTAAAAGAAAACAACAAGATCTCAAATTCGCCTCAGTGGCAAAAATTATTAAATAGTAAAAACARCCGTGCACCTAAACTCCAATGACAACAACGACGCRTTTACCAACAACATCCATAACAATTAAAATAGTTCTAAAGAATACAAAATTTTCCTCCGCGGTTCACACCTAGCAATAACATATGTCTCAAGGCTACTCGTACCCAACTACCCTTCCCCCATATCCTCACTAACTAAACTAGTGATCCTTCCTCGGTCAAGCCCTCTCCACGTCATCACCGCGGTCGACCCCGTTCACACCTGAAACATATAAAGGTACAAGGGGGGTGAGTACATAAGGTACTCCGTAAGTAGCACTTCCTAACTAGCACAAAATAAATTATGCTCATAGCCACAACATAAGAACTAAGAATAACGAGACAATCAAATAAGCAGTGAGAGATAGCGAACAATTAACTTGACATTTAGAGCAAAACAAAAGCAAGGCAACCAAAAAAAGAACAGAGAGGGATAGCGAACAATTAACTTGACATTTAGAACAAAACAAGAGCAAGGCAACCAAATAAGCAGAGAGAGATAGCGAACAATAACTTGACATTTACACACAACAACTAAGCGTCGAAACTACCAATACCACAACCCATGAATCGCTAGCCCTAGTTTCATAGTACTAAAACTTCCTCAACACCCCCCTTTATCACTCTCCGCTTAACTTCTCGAGGCATGACGGCTCTTGACATTTATTCCCAAGTCACCGTACCTYCTCCTTCTCCAGTACTTGATGTCCGACCTTGCCATTTATTCCCAAGGCCAAACACCACTACTTCGCWAGCTCCACTCTTCTTTAATCCCTCAAGCCTAACTCCTCGAGTCGTATTGACCCYTGACATTTATCCCCAAGGCCTCAATACTCCTCTCCAGAAACTTGACGTTCGGCCTTGCCGTTTATTCCCAAGGCCTGAACTGAGCACCGGTCCTTGCCGTTTATTCC